AAGTAAAGTTTTAATTAAACAAGAAAAAGTTAAATAAATTGTTGCTAAAGGAAAATAATGATATTATTAATCATTATATTTTATTCAGAAATCAAGATTTGGAATAAAAGTCAGAGCATGTTTGCAGACTCTGATCAGACCTCAAATTCAGTATAAGAATTGTCGGAGTTCTCACATAATAGCGTGCTAAGAAGCAAGGCAAAGCTGACATAGAAACATTACGAGACAACAACTTTATCAGAAGAACAACTAATTTTACTATTAAGCAGCGACAAACGTCGGAATTTTTTTTTTATTGTAGGTGACAAGCGTATTTGATTGACGATGCATGAGTCGTGCTTTACTAGACTTCGCTGCCCGAAAATTGCGTGGCGTTGTGCAGAGAATTCTGAAAGCTGTAGGATTTAGAATAAACACTTCATGATCAGTTAATAAATACTTTAAGGACATGTCAACACTTAAAAATTAAAATTTACCGGTGCAAGGAATGATCCAAAAGTGGCGAGGCCTCACTTAGAGTCAGCAAGTTCAGTCTTCATTTTCCATTCCCAAGTGGTATCGCCTTTGGGAATCAAAGTGTTGTAAACTTGAAAGCTAATTTCGTCGCTTTAAGGGCTTAAATGTCCACTGTTTTCCAAATTGAGTGGTCTTCAACAAACTTACTTTTCATTTTAAGCTCCAAAACATCTTTCTCAACCGGAATGGAAGAGACTACCGTCTTGAAAACTTTGAAACTCGTAGCTAAACTGCAGTCAGTCGCGTAGCAAATGATTCCTCTTGGGGCATTTGTTTGTTGACGTCATAAGCGTGTTTAATTACGACAATTAAGCACGCGCAAATGAATTTGATTACACGAATTTACCATCTATGTAATATAACAGTTGTTCAATCATATAATCAACGAGTTTGTCGTTACTAACTATTTTTGTAAATCAAACTGTTAATACACTTGGAGGGGATCTGGACACAGCTATGCAGGAGCACAAGACTATCATTCATAGGCGCTTAGGGCAGGTCACGTGGTGACATCTTGGCCAGGAAAAGCAAAAATATCATCGAATCCCTACAGACATGAGAATACTCGATTCAGTGAAGCAATAATTTATTCCCGTTTCTAACTATGTACAGTCTATTTCAAGAAAACTATTATTATGCTTTACATCGAATACTTTGAGTCTATTGAAGACTTTTCTTTTTCCCAAAGTATTCAAAAATAGACATATGGGCTTCATTGAAACTCTAATTGCAAATTGAAAATGGAGTCATTTTTCCTCGTAAGAACATGACGACCTAACTTGAAATTTCAAAATTATTATTAGTTATTCAACAGTATGAAACTGAGGTCTTAAGAAAAATACTTTAAGTTGATATTATCAGCATTTAGTAAACTAGCGATCACGGAATGTTTTGTTGACTCAATTTTCAGCTTTGGTTGTTCAGGTGCACCTGCATTCCTGTCCACACCCCGGTATCACAGCGGCCAAACGTCTGCGCTGGTGCAAAAGTTGAAATCCAAGATACCAAGAGGTATCCAATTGTGACTGATATCGAAAAAGAAAAAGCAAAACAAGCCGGAAACCCACAGTATTAATCAGTGTTTTTAAACGTACATCCGTTTTGGTAATATTCAAGTTTCGGTAATTTCGTCAGTTTCTAATAGAAAATTCAGCCCTAGAAATTAGGGCACTGCTGGCTTTAATTGATCCAATTGCACATGCCTAACTTTTGAAATAACGGTGGTCTGGAGAGGATCGTGGGCGCGCCGAAACACTTATGACCAAAGACTGAGCTTGCATGTTTGGGCGATGCGGTAAATCCGCTGATCTCAATTTAAAACTTTACATCTTGTAATTAAATATTCTCGAATTTTTTTTTCTAAACGTCACAGATTAAAGTTGATGTAAGGCTAGTACTTTCTTTCTGCTTGTTGTAAATCCAATCAAAAGACGGTTATCTAGGCAGCCATTTCTGCTGTCTAAAGCTCGGCTTGGACTTAAACACGGACTGGGCCAGATTTGCCGTTGCTATCTGAGCTTGGTTCCAGTGTCCTCATGGGCGTCAATTCCTCCTCGGCTACTTCATCCTTGTTAAAGCGTTTTCGTTTAAAGAAGCCGAACTGTCAGGGAAAGCAAAAAAAAAAAAAAGAAAAAAAAAGAAAAAAGAAATCTTTTAACAACGAATATTGACTATGCCATTACAGAATTGCAAGTGGGAGCCAGAATAAATGCTAAGCGTGCTGATCTCAAATTGTTTAGAACTGGCCAGAATGCAGTGCTTTCAGAGGTAATCATCGTGTTGCTGTCTAAGGGGAGATTCACCTTTTCACGTGTACTGAT